GTCGTGCCGCCTAGCGTACGTGTCGATGTAACACGATTCCACGGCAGTTCGTGGAAACGACAACGTCCGAACGGATCCGAGGTATTCCGAGCGGAGGAACATCCCCTGAGTGGGGAGGGGTGGCCAGGTGAGCGAGCAGCCACCGACGACCCTCGTTTCCTCGTACGCGCCATCGTTCCTGACCTCGTTTCGCTCCGTTTGTCGAGGTCGGTTACGCGGAAATGTCCCTCCTCGCAGCGGTCCATCCTTGAAAATCGGCTCAACCCTCGACCGTTCCTTCGTCGTTTTACCTGGCCTGGTTCATCTTTTCGATTGATAGACCGATCTTCGAAAAGAAATTCAAAGCGCTTGTTCGATAGTTCGGGAGACGAATTTTCGGATTACAAGCGAGCAGCTGCCACCAGCCAGCCAACTTTCTGTACCTGATCAAGTTAAAACACGTTACCACAAGCGTAGAACCAATCAACGCAAGGTTGTGAAAGTTTCATCGTTGCAGAAGCAACTTGGATCGCGTTGAAAATTTCACCGGTCCATCATCGGTGCAGCTTCCCGATCTTGCCCTTTTAATAAACGATCACGGTTGATAGGAATTGCGCGTGTGTACGGATAACATGACAGAAATCGACAAAGTTTACGAGAAAAAATATTTCGTAGAATGTTCGAAATAACGTTGGATTGATGATTTTTGTTGAAAGCGTGGATCGCGTTATCGTCGTCAATGAATCGAACGTTATCAATTAGGAAGGATGATTACCAGAATTCATGGACGGCCAGTGGACGACGAGATGCGGCGCATAATGCCGGGGCAAACAGTATTATTAATTCTCATCGCGACGCTTCGAAAATCCGATATTCGAGTCCACCGGGGGAAAAATGTAGCCGACAGAACCTCGGTCATCCGCATAATCGCGATTCGATTGGCCACGTTAAATAGAGCCAACCTAATATTGACGTGTAATATTAATCGAGTTTTATATATACTCGCACGATGTAATTATTTCGTTCGTATCGTAAAATAACACGCTCGTGCGTGTACTACTGTCGCACGACATTATTTAATCCAACGATTTCTTTCGCGCGAAACGCCTATGTTATCGCGAGGAAAACCGATTTAAAGATGAAGAAAGATACATGAATGGAAGACGAGAGAATGTCTGTGTCGGTAAATTGCACGATGTTGCTAGAGTTCCAAGGATTTTACTGACGAAGCCGAATCGGTGCTGGAGCCAGTGGTATAAGCGCGCCGCTGGTCAGACGAGACGTAGATGCGTTCGATAGTGGTAGAAGTAGGTGGATAGTCGAACAGGGCCATGTCGGTTGTACGAGAATCCGAGTCAGCGATTATGCGAATAATCAAGTGCTCGTACGGCCAAGAAGGAAAGCGCATAAAGAGAACCTTATTCCGCGTTAATTGCCGTGTAATTTGTAGAAAAAGTAACGAGTCCGGGCGAAAGTCGAGAAGAAAACTTGGAATTTCCTCGAGTAGAAGCCGAACGCTCGTTCTGGGGGGTTGTTAAGAAAGGATTCGATTGTTTAAGACCGTGAACAATCGTTACGAGATTCGAGGTTCGCGGATATTTGAGAACATCGCGCGTGGAATTATAAAACAGAGGAGAGACCTCGAACAAGTCTCAAAGGTCGGATGACGACGATCACGCGATGCGATCGTATAATTCTGACGTAAGAAGTTGTTCTTCGAATTCGATAATTTAATATAAACATCAGGTACGTGATTTGTAGTCGTGACGTGAGCTCGTGATCGAATCTCGAGAAGTCGAGAACTTTTACCGAATTGATTTTCTTTCGACGAATTTTCCCATCCGTGAATAAATAACTAGAAATAATGACATTTTACAGTAGCGACGCGTGAGTTACGATCGAATAATAATTTAAAAGCGAAAATTTATGCGATCGAAATGCCATCTCCCCGATAAATCCTTCCCTCTTCCAACGTTGAAAATGGATGGAAGGTGCAAAAATCCTTTGTTCTACTTTTCCGAGTTCGGGATAGAATTTCTGTTCCGAATTCTATATTTTTCTACGGCAACGATTATCACCGACAGCGACGCTTCCAATTGGAACGCCAAGTTAGTCGCGTGCCAACCGAACACTGGGACCTTCGTACATCGGCATCACGCGAAGGTATCGCGATCCAACCACCGTACCGGCGTAATCCACCCGTGAGTAGTGCCAACGTAGTGGCAAGGCTGCTGTTATTCCCTCGATCGAATTGCCATTTATTTTACCTTTTAATCACCGTTCGCTCTCTCCCTGAAATCGAACACGTGCATTTCTACCAATTGAACTCTCATTACCCAATACGCGAGCATTACCTTTTTCACGTAGAATTCCAAGTAAGAATAAAAATGTATCTACGCGAGATTCGAAATGTCTGCAACGACGAGAAGGATGGCGGTAATTCCGTGAATCAGTGTCAGAGCACCGACACTTGGAGAGTGCATCACTAGAAATCAGGTTTAAACGAGCATATGTAATATATTCAGCGGTCTACCGCTGTATCGGGCGACGAAACCGTGGAGAGACCGGATGCATAGAGAACTCGACGATAGTCAACGTCGGTCTGCGGTTACGGTGAGTAGAAGTGACAGCCAGTACCTGCATAATGACTCGACTGCAGCCGTGCACTGCGGCGCGCAAGCTCGCTACGCGATGCACACTGCCAATCGGAACGTTGTTTCGTCGCGTTAGATACACGAGCGTCGCAGCTAGATTCCACCACAACCACCATTACCGACGCCACCGTCACTACCCTACACCGCTGCTAGCTACAGTCGTCACAACCGTCGTACAATCGCCACCGGCGTCACCAGTACAGATTTCTATCCACCCAACAATGTTAGGCAGGTATGTCTTTCGAACGGTGGCACGCGATTCTCACCGATTTCTTTCCAATTCGTTATTTCACTTCCGTTAATAATCCTTCCGGGTGAATTGGATCCTGTAATACCTTGCAACTCTGCGTGTTAATTTTTTTTTTTTTCCTTTCTTCGTTTTTCGTTATCGTCGAATATAGAACAGCGTCGAGTCGAATTCGTATGCACAAATGAAAATTTCCTCGGATCGATATGATATTTACGAGCCTCGTGTTTCGATACGGTCAATTATTTTTTAATATAAGATCGTTACGCGTAGAATCCATGGAAAGGAGAATAATAAATTAAAATGTTATAAAGAACACTGGGATACCAAAGCGATAAGCAAAACATATTAATCGTATGCAAATATAAATGACTCTACATGGTGAAAAGAAATTATTTCTTTCAACGTGTTCTTGAAACGTGAGAACGTTGAATTTACAATAATGTAAAATTCTTAAATTGGATAAAATATGTATGTTATATCGAAATTGGATAGAATCGTGTAACATCAAACATC